AGGAGGGACAAGTGACAAGTCACCTGAAGCCTCACAGCTTGGGCCCTTGGCTGGGGCTGGCCCACCCTAAGGCCTGGCAGAGTGTGGGTCGCCATTGCTGTTACCAAACAGCAAGTTGGGTCCTGTTGCCTGCTGCCACCGTCTAGGCAAAATTCCCGAGGCTAAGGTTTGGTGATAAAGGAAAGGCATCTTTATTCAAAGCTACACAATTTTGGAGTAATAGCCTTCAACTGCATTAGTCACTTCAGCCTATCAAATAAGGTGAACCTCTTTACCTATTTACAGCTTTAGTCACTTAAGCCTATTAGTTAAGGCTAAAATCTTTAGCTCCTGAGTTCCTCTGTCATTCCCCCATTAGATTTTATTTATCTTCTTTCTATAGGATTAGTTTACAAACTAAAACAACATAAGATACAAAAGCTACACAAATTTGGAAGAATGGCAGGCTTCTGCCTCAGAGCCCATCCCCTATAGAACATCCAAAGAAGAATAACCCTGCCACCCCCACCAGGCCAGCCGGATTCTAGGCTGTGCCAGAGTTTCTTCTCCCACCCAAAATCCATTGAAAATACCATCCTTTGGGAAACACAGGCAGCTGCAGCACAATCATCCAGGCATCCTCAGAAAGAGAGCCCAAGAGCCAGTATCTGCCCTCTTTTTATTTTAAATCTTCTGGCTCATAATTCCATGCGCTCTGGAGGTGTTCAGCTTCTCAGCCAATCCCATCCTAAACTGTTTACCATTCATTGCCTTGGGTAACCCCCCTCCTATGGCCCTTCCCTACTTCTCCCCTGTGATCTCATCAAATCTCTCTTTATCAATTTCCCCCTTTAACACTTCTGTATCTTTGTAATCTTACGAAGACAAGTGGACAAAGGTCTCCTTCTTCTGTAGCTACTTCCTGCCAGCCATAGCTATAGTCCTACCTATGCCCTGGTCCAGAGATCCCTAATAGAAAGGGGGGGTCACATGAGGGAGAAGGATCTTGCAAAATCCAGGTCAGTTGGCTGTCCCCGGGAAGCAGCGTGAACAATGTCTAAAGGATAGCATTGCTGGACAAGTTGGCATCCTTGGTGTATTCTGGAGGTGACAAATTCAGCAAGAGGGTTAGAAGGCACAATCAGAACAATAAAAACTAAATGACAAATGTATGGTCCAATTCTACAGTGTCCCACATTAAGAAAGAGTGGCTTCCTTGGAGGAAAGTGTGCTAAGTGTGTCACACCTATCTGAAGCCCTTTTGCCCACTATACTTGTGCTGAGGGGAATATTCTAGGATTCCCCCTTTAACACTTCTAGGCCCTTTCTGTCTAAACCATTAGGGCAGAAAAGGAAAGCAGTTTTAAGTGAAGCTGACAGACTGCCCCATACTTGACAAACTCAACAACTCAGTCCATTCAAACCATTGGGTCTCAGGAGGTGGCAATGCTGATGGGCTTCTCAAATAAGGACTAAACAGTGTAAACACTCATGTAATGATATCATAGGCGTATGCCTTATGAAAACAGAAGGAAGAACATACAGGTTAATTCACATAACAACCCAAAATCAGTCTCTGAGTCCATGAGGCTGCCTTTTGAGAAGACATTCAGTTGCAAGGCTTTTGCTGGAGTAATATTAAGCAGTGACAACCTGACAAATTCTTCCTGTTGTCACAAACCCAGTTCAACTTCTAAGTGAAAACAAAACTTTGAATACAGTTAGCTGTATTAGAGTCTGAAGTCTACCACTGAGCTTTGTGATTTTTCTTGAAACATGATTTTTCTCCTTAAGGTCAGCCTCATTGTCACTAAAGGGACTGCATTAAGTTCAGTTTTAATTTTTGCCCACTCATTTGCATAAACACAACAAGAGCAATGACTGATTACATAGGTTCTTTGAATCTGCTTTGCTGGAACTCACACAAGGAACCTTTAGATTGAGTTTTAATAAATCCTTCACGACACAGAAGCCAAGCCACACAACTGTCATATGGGTTTGCCTACAGTACCTATATTCCTCAAGTTCTCGAAGTTCCCAAAGTATCTTAAGGTTCCTCCTTGCAATTTTTCAGGATAGCAACCTTTGTTCCTTCCCTGGAAAGACTGCAAGGAACCACACGACTAACCTCAGTACCAGGCCACTTCTCCGGTGGGCTTTTTGTTAGCTTGAAAGTCACTATCAGTTCCTGAAGGCCTTCTGTTAACAACTAGAATCCAGGCATGCCTCCTTCAGGCATGGCATTTCAAAGTCTTCATTAACAAAACCACTATTGGAAACTGGTCTTATCAGTTTTATGCAAAGAAACTTTATACCATGTTCAGAATATCAAATTCTGGAGGGCTCAGGTAGGGAGAAAAATACAAAGTGTGAAGGAAAATGCTTGTCCTTCCAATGTCCACCAAGATTGCACTTCCATGCCTTATACCTTTCATTGTTTACTTTCCACTTGATGTGAACCTTTAACTCTCCCTGGGAAACCTCAATTTCCTTCTGAAACCAAAGCAAACACAGAGTTTCAAGAGAGGGGGCACTAGAACCAGTCTTAGGATCTTGTCTCATACCCTCCGGTCACACTAACTTGTCACATAGACAACCTTTTTCGGGTCCCAAATGGCCCAAAGCCCCAATGGTAGAGGCATTCCCTCACTTACAGTATGACCACTGGTCTCCTGGCAGAGACATGACTTCTCACCCCTACCTGGTATGCCCATCAGCATATAATGGCACAAAGCCCCAATGGTAGAAGCACTCTCTTGCCTACCAGTGCATCCACTAGTCTCTTGGTAGATACATTACCTCTCACCAATGGTTATGGCCTGTGGTATGCTGCCACTGCTGCTGCACTTGCTTTGCTGTTTCAGGCTCCAGAATGTGTTGCTGTTCACACTGGAGTCTGGATGGTGTCCCCCTGGGATGGGCCAGCCTCTGCCAGCATTCCTGACTCAAGGCCCCTAAAAGAATCTGGCCAAACAATGGAATGGTCTCTATGATATCCTGTTGATATCCAGTCTCATGGCAAAGACATGCTCTCTTGCCTTCCTCTCAGGAGCTTCCTGGCTATCGCTTGAGGAAGCACATCTCTCACTGAGAGCCACCTTGCTCCTCTGCTTAACACCAAATGACCCTTCCTAGCTCCCAAATGGCAGAGGCATTCTCTCCAACTGGTCTCACAGATGACTTCTACTAGGTCCCAATGGCCAAACAGTAGAGACAGAAGATTCCTTATTTACACAAAACAACAGAGTTTAAACGAAGTCTCCATAAGAAAGTAAGCAAAGAACAAATCAAGCAAAGTATAATTGCGCCCAAGCATTAAGGTTTCTTTTCTTTCAGTTTTAAAAGTTTCATAACATCCTGTAGCCTCTACAACTTTCTACACACCTTCTACAACTTTCACAAAACTTCTATATACCTTTACTTGTTCAGAAATAACTATAACTTGCTTTCAATCCTTGTTTTCTTTTCTCATTGTGTAAGACCATACTCTAACTCAGCATCTGGCAGCTAATAGTCCCTAACTTTGCATGTACATAAGTAAAGTAAAAGGAACATTATTATTTTGCATTGAGGATCGCTGTCCTTTTCCAAAAGAAAAGTTTCAAACCTCCTTCTGGAGTGCAGGTCCAGCTTTTCCTTTCAGCATCAACCACAGCAACAGGATTCAAGTCCTCCTCAGGTGGTGCCTGTTTTATCCGTGTGTGGTGGATCTAGGGCTTGATTCCTGTTAGCTTTAGGGAAACATGCATTGTCAACAGTGTATCATAGGTACCATTCCATTGTTTGGCTAGCTTCTTTTAGGGCCCTTGAGTCGAGTCAGGAATGCTGGCAGAGGTTGGCCCTTCCCAGGGGGACACCATCCAGGCTCCAGTGTGAACAGCAACACATTCTGGAGCCTGAAGAAACAGAAAAGCAAGTGCAGCAGCAGTGGCAGAAGGCCACAGGCCATAACCATGCTTTGGCTATCACTTGAGGAAGCACACCTCTCACTGAGAGCCACCTTGCTCCTCTGCTTCATGGCTGTGTGTCCTTGGTCAAGTGATTCAGCCTCTTGGGGTTTAATTTTTGGATTTGTAAAATGGGAATGATCACAGCATCTAGCTCATAGTATTGCTGTGAGGAGAAAATTAGCATGTTGCCTGGGTCATAAGGACACTCAATAACAATATTAATATTTACATATTTCTTCATGCAAAAAAGATCTCCATTCCACTTGGCATTGTGTTAGGTTATTTCATGGGGAAGTTGGGCTGAGTCAGAATGATGATAGGGACTATGATGTCCTTTCCCAACCTTCAGTCCCAGGCAGACAGTAAATGTTTTCTGTTAGGAAGTTATGACCTTTACTCCTATCTCATGTCACCAGCTGGCCACACTTTGGCTCTGTGGTTCTCTTAGCACTGTCAAGCATGCTCCACACAACGGTTGCTTCCTCTGCCTGGATCATGCTTCTTACTGATATCCACATAGCTTGTTTCCTCACTTCCTTGGAGATTTTGTTCAAATGGCACTTTACTGACCACTTCCACAAAAAACAACAAGCAACAACTCCCCTCCAGACGATTCATGTCCACTGCCACTATGTTTATTTGGTTACTTACTATCTGCAAACTCCACAAGGGCAGGGACTTAGAACTTCTAAGCTCCCAATGGTGTTTGGCATACATACCTGTGGTACTTAGTGTTTGTTGAACAAATTCATTGGAAATGGGGTCAGGAGGCCTGGTTCTCAAAGGACCTCACTCACGGCGAATGGCACTTGGTGTGGTTGGTGGGGAAGTTACTTTTATAGAGAGGAGAGAGAAAGAAAAGGGCCTCCAGGTGAGAAGCATAGAACAAGCAAGGGCAAAGAGGCAGGACACTGCTGATTAAGAACAGAGTTGCATCTCCACTCTTTGGAAACACCTGGAAAGACTCCCGGCAGCAGCTATCCAGAGAGGATTAGCTCACAAAGACCTCCCTCGCTACCGGGCCCCGCCTCCTAGAAGTGGGGCGGGGACGAAACGCGCAGGCGCGGTTGCGTTCCGGCGGTGCCCAGGCCTGTGGATCCAGAGGCCCTATCCTGCAGCGTGAGGCCTCGGCAACAGCGGCTGAGGCTCTACCCTTTCGCGGCGGCCTGTCACCGTCGCCGTGGAGCGGCTGCTCAGAGTCGGAAATGCCGCCGCGGGACCGGGGTCTGCTCTGGCTAAGCCTGGTCCTGGGCTCCTGCGCTTCTCTCGGGTCCGCGGCGCGGGGCAACAATGCCAAAGGTGATGCTTGTGTCTCTCCCTGCCCAGATTGTTGGTCTCCCTTTTTTCCTCCCAGCTGCCCTCCATTCTTCCCTCACTACGTACATCCTTTCTTCCCTCTATCCACACTTCCCTCCCTCCCTAAATTCTTCTTTCCTTTCCTCTATACTTCCCTCCCTCTCCTTCTCTCTCCCTTGATCTCTTCCTCTTTCCCTTCCTCATCCAGGCTTGAGGCTATGGCCATAGCCTAACCCTGCCACCTAGAACTGGGGCCTCCTCTCTTTATCCACTCCCACCATCCCTGGCTTTGTTAGCTGGGTTTTCAGGGTGTAGGATACAGCCTTGGGCCTTTCAGTACCCTAGCACCTACCATGAGTGGGGGTTCAGTGTCAGAGCAGGTTATCTCACTGAAGCCCCACCCTCCGATGCAGATGCTCTGAATGTCCTCCTAATCATCGTGGACGACCTGCGCCTCTCCTTGGGCTGTTATGGGGACAAACTTATAAAGTCCCCAAACATCGACCAACTGGCATCCCACAGCCTCCTCTTCCAGAATGCTTTTGCCCAGGTATGTCTGGGGTCCTTTAGGTGTGGATGTGTGTCTTGTATACTGAGAAGCGAGTGGGGGGAGCTTGCCTCAGCAGTTGTTAGATGGCACTGATTGTGCCAGGCATCTCTATTAGAGGGAAGCGCCATCTGGAAAATGGCATTGACATAGCCTGATTGTCTACTGATAAGGAAGACTGTGTTTTCAAGGGATACTATCCTCAGGATGGTCCTGACCAGCTTTATTTCCCCAAGAGGGGGTTGCCTGGGGCTGAGAAGGAAGGGGTGCTGCAGAATGTTATCCTCAGACCTGCCAACTATCCTTGAGCAAGTGCCAGCCAGCTTGCCATGACGGCACTCCTTCCTGAACCCCCTCACAGGGCCACACCCAGGGTCGTTGCATGCTCTGTGCACCTGTGAGACAGTATTGTGTAGGAGGAGGACACAATCATCTGCTGGTTTCAGGGGCTGAGCTCTTTCTCTCTCTTTCCCAGGAGACATTTTTGGTGACTGGATGAGACCCAAATCCCACTGTTTAGCTTTTAGATCTGCATGACTCAGCTGCCAAGCTGTTTGCGGAGGACTCTGGAGGTTCCCTGGTTACAATTTGGCTCCCAGACTATTTTTCTCTGATGGTGTTTCCCTCTGCTTCTTCTCCCTAACAGCAAGCAGTGTGTGCCCCAAGCCGCGTGTCGTTCCTTACCGGGAGGAGACCTGACACCACACGCCTGTATGACTTCAACTCCTACTGGAGAGTACAGGCTGGAAACTTCTCCACCATCCCCCAGTACTTCAAGGAGAATGGCTACGTGACCATGTCGGTTGGAAAAGTCTTTCATCCTGGTACTACTTGCTGTCTAAAGTCTGAGTTCTTTTTTGTTTCGTGCCCAAGCACAGGGGATCCTGTTCTGGGGTTGGGGCTGTCTTTGCAGAGACCTTATGAGGCTGCGTAGACACTGAATCATTCACTGCTTGCTTTTTGCAAAATCTTGACCTGGCTTCATGTTCTCACCTAAAGTGAAAAGGGGTAGGAGTTTTTCTTCCTTTCAGAAATTAGCCATGGTGCCGTTTGATTCTCTTGGCTCATGGGGTAGAAAGGAAGTGCACTGATTGGGGAGGTGACAATGTTGGGTGAGGTTCTCTCTCTATACCTCTGTACCCCAGGGTCCCTGTTAGTAAAGTTAGGGATTTAAGGATGTCCCATGTGGCCAGCTGTTGTTGCTGCCTTTTCCAAGAAAATAGTTGCTGCTTAAGGTCTATGAATTAGGTCAGTAAAAGCAGTATAAGCTGGTATCCAGAACCTATAGGGTGCCAGGGGCTGCCATTTCTGGCCTTCAACACCCTCTGATAACCTGACTCTCTTTAATGCCAAAACGAGAATGCTGAAGCACAGACTAACTCTAAGACTTCTTTTTAACTTACAGAAGAATTGCATTGTTATTTGACAAGAAGTTGGAAAAAAGGGAAAGTATAAACTAAATGTAAATTACTTCTAATCACAGCATCCTGCCGGGAGCTGTATTTAATGTCCACCCTCTTCTGGGCATACTATTTTTTCTGATTGGAGATATTTCTGTATATATAATTTATATTGTGATTTTCAACATAAAATTTTTCCCTTTAGTTACTCTTTATACAAAGTGTTTTGTTTTTTAAATAACAATACAGTAATCTAACATACCGATGTACTATATTTTAGTCCAGGTTGTTTTCAGGTCTTTGCTGTCACACATACAGCTGCGATGAACATCTCTGGAGGTAGGGCAAACTGTTGATGGTAGTGCCACCAGGGATCAGGGCCCCTGGGTTCCAGTCTCAGCTCTGCCACTTCTTAGCTATGGAGTTGACCTTGAGCAAATCATTTATCCTCTGAGTCTCAGATTCCTTCTCTGGGAAGCTGGAGTCATAGCTGCCTTTATTACCTTCTAGGGGAGTGTCCCAATGCTGGTAGTTCAGGAGTGTGAAAGTGCACTGAAAACCCAAACTCTTTATGGACCACAGTGCTTATTAGGGGCTATGACTTGAATATTTTCAGTAGCTTTCTTTTTGCTCACTGCTTACATTGACAGGATCAGCAGCCTTTCTCTGGAACCCAGCTGGCCAGTCCAGGTTAAGAGTACCTTATGGTTGGGCTAAGTTGGGCCCAGTTTTGAAGGTGAATCTGTTAGGAATCATGGTGTGCAACCAAAAGCCAACCATTAAGAGAACTTTCTGCAGTCAGTACTCATATTATGATACCCCTTGTCTGAGTATAGCTGGAAGGAAAAGACAGTTTTGGGGAGAGGAAGAAACCTGGCAGAGGGGAGATCATGTTTCAAGAAGGTAGGCCAGACAAGGCCTGAGTGGTGTTGCTTGGCCTATCTCTGGATGTTTAGATTTTGGGATCAGGCTGTAAGTACTGGGTGTTAGCCAAAGAACAAAAACTTTGCCTATAGTCCTTGTGGAAACACATTTTTGAGCTGGGTCTTTGTTCTCAAGACCTTGTTCTGTCAGGGAAGAACCTGTCAAGGATGACAGCAGTTACCATTGAGTAAATGTTAGGTATGTGCCACTTATTGTGCTGGCTGCTCCTTTAATCCTCTCAACACCACACAAGGTGGGTTTTTATCATAGTCATCATCTCCTGAGGAGAAAATTGAGGCCCATGGAGGTCAAATGGCTTGCCCAAGATTGCATAAGTACTAAGGGGCAGTGCCAGGATTTGAATCCAAGTCTGCCAGTGGCCTGTGCTCTATCCACTGGACTTACTGTGCTGATGAGCCCTCCACCTACTGTCCCTCAATGTGCCAGTGTGTTAGTGATGCTCTCTCTCCCCTGGTTCTGACTGTGCTCCCCTCTCTGTTCCTTCTGGCTTACTCCATAGGTAGCACTTCCTGTGCAAGCCTTGCTGACACCTAGAAGCCCTCACTGCCAACCATCACTGGACCCACATCACCTCTGTGCCTTGGGCCTCCCCCACTTAACACAGCACTTTTATTCTCTAGATAGCTGGCAGCCATTCCTTGGTTTCACACCTTGTTATTTTGTCTTTCCAAATAGGATGTTAGCTACTGAGCTTAGGGGTGGATTTATGCTTCATGAATGAGCACTGAACCTGGAGTTCTAAGGCATAGATTGGAGTCCAGGCTCATTCATCTAATATCTGGTTGGAATTGGGTAGGGAACCAACCTTCTCTGAGCCTCCCCCCACTGGATCATGGTGGTGCCACTGCCTCTGCCACTTCCTTCATAGGGCAGTCCAGTAAGGACTCTGCAGGGCTGTGTTGCTATAACAGGCTGGCTTATCTCACTCAGTCACCTCAGAGCCTAGCATGAACTGCTAGGGCTTAAGAGAGTGGGAGGTCAGATGCTTAGTATTCAAATAGAAACCTAGAGAGAGTTGGCTTTAATGGGGCTTCTTATCATGTGGCCTAAGCTCTAGATTTTATAGAGAAAATAACTGAGGCCCAAAGAAGGGAGATGATACTTCCCCAGTTGTTTACAAAATTTTAACTTTGGGTGGGGAGGGCATTGAAAGATGGTTAATGTTTTATTTAATGACTTTATTCTTTTCCCCCTCAAGGAATATCTTCTAATCATAGTGATGATTCTCCATATAGCTGGTCTATTCCACCTTATCATCCCTCCTCTGAAAAGTATGAAAATACTAAGGTAAGGATGTGAGAGGGGTACAGTTCTGAAGAGGAACTGCTTTTTCCTGTCTAGTAATTTAAGTTGAACTATTGTGTACACTATACCTTCCTTCAAGCTGGTTATCCATTGAGGTTTGTGGGTTTTGTTTGTGATCATAAGTTAGCAGACAAGTGTGATCATTGGCAATAGGTGCAGTGGGAAAGGTGGCTTTGTTTTAGAACCTGGTAGGCATGTCTTGTTCTAGAACCCTATGTTCTATTGTCTAGGGCTCATTTAATGGCTCCTTAGTGCTCATTCTGGATAAGGCTCTGTGCTGAGGGTTGTAGGAGATGCAGAGACATGGAAATGAGAAGAGAGACCTGTGCTCCAGGAACCTCAGCCCAGATTGATAGAAAGATACCATCTGTCTCTTTGTCTTTGGCCTAATGGATATGTTTAGGCGCTTTGATAGGGGTTTTAAAATTTTAGAGCATTACAAAAAAAAAAGGAATATACAAAGAAGCAACCTTAAAAAAGGAACATACAAAGAAACTTAATCTTGGCATCCTCAATGTATAAATGAAACTAAAGCCTGTATTTAAGAAATTCAGAAAACCAGTTGCAGGACTGAGAAATGACATGCTCCTTGGAGGTTTTTAGAAATATCATGTGGAGAAGGCTGTAGATTTGTGGGCGTTGGTATGTGCAGAGGAGTATTATAAATTCTTGACAACTTTCCATTTCAAAATACAGTGAAAGCTAAGGGCTCTGACCTTTGACTTGTGACTTCAATATTAACAGAATGAGGATGGAAGACCCCATCTCAAGCCCTCCATTTCCATCTTGCAACTTTTTAGTGACTTCTCAAATGCCAGGCCATTGTTTCCCACCTTGCACAGTTGTTCTCAAAGTGGTGGATCTGACTATACGAAACCCCCTGTGAATGCTGTAGATCATGTGGAGGGGAGGAGGTACTGGGAGTCAGGTGCTGGGCCCCAGTCCTGAGGTAGGGTGAACAAGGAAGCTTGTGGAAGGATACTCTTCTGTGAGATGGAGCAATAGCTGCCAGTGCCTCTAGGTCTTTGTGAGGTAGAAATCATGGTCAAAACTGACTTTGGGCTTTGGCCACCATGGCCACTTTGGGAAATGAAGCAGTAGGTTCCATTCTGTGCATGTTGTGTTTGAGGATCTGGGAATTCCATGGACTGTCACCTTATCTAGTTGACTGGGACCCTGTTACTTGAAAGCCTTAACCTGTCTGAAATTGAAGACAGATCTTTTCTTTCGTTAAAGTTTTTTTAGATATAATTTATATGTCATAAAAATCACCCTTTAGAGTGTACAATTCAATGAGTTTTAGTATAATTACAGAGTTGCGCAACCATTAGTGAAATCAATTTAAGACCATTTTCATTACCCTGAAAGGTAGCTTTCTATCCATTATTATTCACTCCCCATTTCCTCCAAACCTCTAGCCTGCGGCAACAACTGATCTATTTTCTTTCTCTTCAGATTTGCCTGTTCTGGACATTTTGTATAAATGGAATAATACAGTATATGGCCTTTTGTGTCTGCCTTCTTTCACTTAGCATAATGTTTTTGAGGTTCATCCATGTTGTAGCATGGATCAGAACTTCATTACTTTCTACAGCCAAATAGTGTTCCATTGTATGGCTGAATACATTTTATTTATCTATTCACCAGTTAATGGACATTTGTGTTGTTTCCACTTTTTGGCTACTATGAATAAAGCTGCTATAAACATTTGTGCACAGATTTTGCTGTGGACTTAACTTTTCAAGTCTCTTAGGTAGAATTGGTAAGTCAAGTGTTTGCGTGGACTTAGGTTTTTATTTTTTGGTATACACCTAGGAGCAGAATTGTTTGTCATATAATAACTCTATGTGTAACTGTTTGAAGAATTGCCAGAGTGTTTTTCAAAGAAGCTGCATCGTTGTACATTCCAACCAACACTGTATGAGAATTCCAATTTTTCCACATCCTTGCTAATACTTGTTACTTTCCATTTAAAAAAAAAAAAACAGCCATCCTAGTGGGTATGGGTGATTATCTTATAGTAGTTTTGATTTGCATTTACATGATGACTAAAGATGTTGAGTGTCTTTATGTGTGCTTATTGACTATTTGTATATTTTCTTTGGAGAGAGATATAACTATTCATGCCCTTTGCCCATTTTTTAATGGGCTCATTCTTTTCTTTTTTTATTGTTCAAATACATTTGTTTCTGTTTTCCTGCCACTACCCTCCCCTCCTCCACCCACCCCTACTTCACACCCTCAATCTTCCCCGCTTTGGCTTTGTCTATGGGTCCTTTATACTTGCTCCTTGACTTAACCCTTCCCCTTCTTTTCCTCATTATGCCCCTCCCTTTTCCCCTCTTGTTACTGTCTTTTTTCTTTCAATGTTGCTGGTTATATTTTTCTTACTTTGTTTTGTTGATTAGGTTCCACTTATAAGTGAGATCATGTGGTATTTGTCTTTCACCTTCTGGCTTATTTCACTTAGAATAATGCCCTCCAGTTCCATCCATGCTGTCGCGAAGGATAGTAGCTCTTTCTTTCTTTCTGTAGCATAGTATTCCATTGTGTAAATGTACTGTGGTTTCTTGATCCACTCATTTACTGATGGGCACTTAGGTTGCTTTCAGCACTTGGCTATTGTAAATTGTGCTGCTATGAACATCAGGGCACATAGGTTATTTTGATTTGGGATTACAGGATTCGTGGGGTATAATCCCAGCATGGAATTGCTGGGTCAAAAGGCAGTTCCATTTTTAGCTTTGTGAGGAAATTTCATACTGTTTTCCACAGTGGCTGCACCAGTCTGCATTCCCACCAACAGTGTATTAGGGTTCCCTTTTCTCCACAGCCTTGCAGGCACTTGTTTGTTGATTGGTTTATGCGGGCCATTCCGACCCAGCGAGAAGTGGTATCTCATAGTGGTTTTAATTTGCATTTACCCGATGGCTAGTGATGCTGAGCATCCTTTCATCTGTCTCTGGGCCCTGTGTATGTCCTCCTTGGAGAAGTATCTGTTCAGGTCCTTTGCCCGTTGGTTCATTGGATTGTTTGTCTTCTTGAAGTGGAGTTGTGTGAGTTCCTTATAGATTTTGGAAATCAAACCCTTGTCCGGGTATCATTGACAAATATATTTTCCCATACGGTTGGTTCCCTTTTCATTTTGCTGATGTTTTCTTTAGCCATTCAGAAGCTCCTTGTTTTTATGAAGTCCCATTTGTTTATTCTTTCATTTATGTCCCTTGCTCTAGTGTACACATAGGTGAAAATATTGCATGGAATATCTGAGAGTTTCCTGCCTATGTTCTCCTCTAGGACTTTTATGGTGTCACAACTTATCTTTAAGTCTTTTATCCATCTTGATTATATTTTTGTGTATGATGTCAGTTGGTGGTCAGATTTCATTTTTTTGCATGTAGCTGTCCAGCTCTCCCAACACCATTTGTTGTAGAGGCTATTTTTACTCCATTTTATCCTTCTGCCCCCTTTGTCACATATTAATTGACCGTAGATACGTAGATAAAAGAGTCCCATTAATTGATCTGGGCTTTTCTATTCTGTTCCATTGATCTACGTGTCTGTTCTTATGCCTGTACCAGACTTCTTTGATTTCAGTGGCCTTGTAATATAATTTGATTTCAGGTATTGTGATCTCTCCTACTTTGTTTTTCTTTCTCAAAATTGCTGCAGCTATTCGGGGTCGTTTATGGTTCCATATAAATTTTTGAAATGTTTGTTCTATATCTGTGAAATACATCATTGGTATTTTAAAAGGGATTACGTTGAATCTATAAATTGCTTTGGGTAGTATGGACATTTTGATGATGTTTATTCTTCCAGTCCATGAACACGGTATATGCTTCCATTTGTTTGTGTCTTCCTTAATTTCTTTCTTCAGTGTTGTGTAGTTTTCTGAGTACAGGTCTTTACCTCCTTGGTTAAATTTATTCCTAGGTACTTTATATTCCTTGTTGCTTTAGCAAATGGGATTTTTCTCCTGTTTCTGGTTCTGATATCTCATTGTTGGTGTACAAAAATGCCTTTGATTTCTGCATATTGACTTTTTTATCCCCCTGTTTTGCCAAATTCAGTTATTAGGTTGAGTAGTTTTTTGGTGAGTCTATAGGGTTTTCTATGTACAGTATTATGTCACCTGCAAACAATGACAGTTTTACTTTCTCCTTTCCAATTGGATGCCTTATATTTCTTTTTCTTGTCTGATTGCTGTGGGTAGGACTTCCAATAGTGTGTTGAATAGAAGCGGTGAAAGCAGACAACCTTGTCTGGTTCTAATGGGCTCATTTTTTTATTGTTGATTTGGAGGCAGATTTTTTTTCATCATTACTTTACTTGGGTTTCTTTTAATTTTGATCTAGAGACAGAGGATTAATAGCAAGGAGGTAAGTGCTGGTTGGTTTCTGGCCCCTCCCTGGAAAAGAAGAAACACTAATCTGTTTTTGTTCTACTTCCTGTGTTCCTATCCTGAGTGACTAATACTTATTGGGCTGCTGATATGAATGTTAAATACATTGTGTGTGTAACATTCATGACCTCTATTTCTTGCATTTAAAAACCTGTTTTTTTATGTTTTGTTTTGAAAGACATGTAGGGGGCCGGACGGAGAACTCCATGCCAACCTGATTTGCCCTGTGGATATGGCAGACATACCCGAGGGTACCTTGCCTGACAAACAGAGCACCAAGAGAGCCATACAACTGTTGGAAAAAATGAAAACATCTGCCAGTCTTTTCTTCCTGGCTGTTGGATATCACAAGCCGCATATACCCTTCAGATACCCCAAGGTGAAAAGCTGGCTGACGGGTGATCCAATACAGCTATGACAGCTGTGTCATTTGTTAAAGGTGGGATTTGTCTAGTTAAAGTGACTACATCCTGCTGTCCCCGGTCACCAGGGATGCCTGACGACATTAGTGTACTCAACAGTGTGAAGACGTGATTCAGAAGTCAAGGCTAAGTAATGGACTTAGAACATATAAGAATCTTATTGGAAATGCTTGGCTTTCTAATTTCCCCCACTGGAGGATTTTGTTTCTTTTCCTTGAACTCAGTGAGCAAATGCTGGGCTGGTTGGTGAGATAATTAAGAGAAGTGAATTAGAGCTGCCAAAGCCTGCAATAGGGGATGACCCTTGGGACACAGTTCCAAGGAATGTGAATTCCTCTTTAGTAATTGCCTTTCCCTTAGAGCCTCTCAAGTCAGACTCCTTAAACTCAGGGCACTGCATTTCTGATTGGAACCTCATCCTGTGCTTGTATGTATATCATTTAGAGATTGTAATCTCTTTTAAAAAAATATTTTTTTCAGTTTTTCCCTATCATGTTTTTCCCGGGCCTGAGCAGCCCATTCTTTTGACTTTGAAAAGAATATCCTTGCCCTGGCTGGTGTGGCTCAGTGGATTGAGTGTTGGCCTGCGAACCAAAGCGTCACCATTTCAATTCCCAGTCAGGGCAGATGCCTAGCTGGGGGTGCATAAGAGGCAACCACACATTGATACTTATCTCCCTTTCATTCTTCCTCCCTTCTCCTCTCTCTAAAAATAAATAAAATCTTTAAAAAAGAAAAGGAGAGAATATCCCTTACTTGTGATGAGAGTTGAGACCAGAAGGCATGTTCTTTGATGTTGATTTGCTTTGACTGGCCCAGGGGATCTCACCTTCCTAGCAGGAGCTGTCAGCCCCTTGAAGGACAGAGTCTCACTTCTGTTTCTTGTGCAAAAAAGAGTCAGCCTAACAGGGCAGACTATCATCCTTTGGAAGTCCTGTTTATGAGGTTGGCTCTTGGCTGGGAACCTGGGTCTCTGGTGTGTTCCTACCATTCCTAGAACTGACAAGTGGCTTATTATAACTAAACTGTTTATGCAAACCCCTGCATTCTTGCTTGAAGTCTAGAAGTTTTGTATGTGTAGGCAGACCAACCCCAGTTAAAACCCTGGGTGCTAAAGCTTTAATGAGCTCCCCTGGTGGCAGCATTTCATACATATTATCACACAACTTGTAAGCACATCCTGTGTGACTTAACCCGGAGAGGACTCTGTAAGCTTGTGCCTGGTTTTCCCCAGATATCATCCATGTGTCTTCTCTTTGTTGAATGAGTTTGGTCTCCCTTTACTGTAAATCATAGCTGAGTCCCAGTGAAGTATCAAACCTGAGGGTGGTTTGGGGAATGACAACACCTCTTCATACCTTCTTGTTGGAGGGGAGGTGGCGATAGGAATAGGAAGGTATTATTTGTATGAGAGAAGAGAGGTGTCTCTACTCTGTGGAAAACAAGTCGCATTATTTCACTACCATTGGCTCCTAGTGGGAGTGACTTAATATCTGACTTTCAGGTGGGGGAAATGCCTCAGCAGTATTAGTGAGCCACCATGTAAATGCATCACAAGCTTAGAGAAAAGGCAATATAAATACCAATAGAGTCTAAACCTTGTGCCTTTGTCAAAAGAGTGGCAACCTGTTGGCTTTGTGCTTTCTCCCAAGGAGTTTCAGAAGTTGTATCCCTTGGAGAACATCACCCTGGCTTCTGATCCCCAGGTCCCCACTGGCCTCCCTCCTGTGGCCTATAATCCTTGGATGGACATCAGGCAGCGGGAAGACATCCAAGCTTTAAACCTCAGTGTTCCCTATGGCTCAATTCCTGTGGACTTTCAGGTACCAAGGACATATTTCGGGGAAATATTGGATACTTATGGCATGATGCCATAAGTGGTCACTGGTGATGCCACTTTTCTCAATAGACACTACTTCATCCATCAGGTCTTACTAAGAAACTTCTCTGTGCAAAATATATTGCAAAATGCTAGTGTTGGGGGCTGGTATGGAGACATTTAGGACATGGGAAGTGCTGGATGGATAGTCTCCCAGTCAGTGTCTCCACTTCCAAAGAAAGGGACATCTGGAGATTTGGTGACTCACTGGATGTGGGCACAGGAGTGGGGAAGAGTCCTAGATGGTCATTACTAACTCATGGAGGATGCTATTTAATCCAGGTGACAGTTCATCAGTTATAGGGTGGTGGAGCCCAAAATACTCAGTTTTCTGGTACTTGCAGGTCTTTTCTGAGGGAAAGTCAACACGGGCATACAACATGGCTAGTTCTATCCAGGTGTAGAATGTGGTTCCCCTTTGCCATGATGTGGGAGTGGAGCAGACATGGAGTTAGAATCCTCACTACCTTCTCTCTGGAGTGCAGAAAGCATGATGACCAATGCTGTTTCTGGAATATTCCACATTACTATGTGGATACTCCAACAGGCAGTCTACAGTGGAATGAAGGGGCCGTGCTTTCAAAATGTGCTCCCCGAACCATCTGTATCAGAATCACCCTGAAGGCTTATTAGACGAGCAGAGTCCTGACTCCACTCATACTTAGGGAACTCAAAGTTGGAGGTGGGGCCCAAAAACCTGCATTTCCATAAAAAGCACACAGCTGACTCTGATGTACACATAAGTTTGAGAACCACTGCTATAGGGTATAGTTCACAACAAAACATAATACACAGGTCTCTCTTGCTTCTCACACATATTTTGCTCCTAAGTTTGGACAGCAAGAGTTTGGGTAATGAGGGATGTGTGTTCCTCACATCTATTTGTTTTCCGAGTTTCAGATGGCAGTGGTGAGAGTTTGGAAAGCAGTGGACTCATCAGTTTGTTTGGTTCCTAATTTCCATTTGTAGGGATTCCAATAGTGAGATTTCTTGAATTGTAGACCTAAGACTGCACTTGGTTATTTATAATGACCCTTTAAAATGGGCTGTGTGCCAGAATGGGTGCCCTGCATTTTATGTGTGTTCTCTCTTTTGGTCTCCATGGTAACCTTAATGAGGTATCTAATGTCTCTGTTGTCTAGGTAAGGAAATTAAAGACAGAGTGGTGTGGTGACTTGCCCCAGATCACACAGCTAGTGATAAGAGTGTGTAAAGTCAAAGCCCCATGGTTTATTTTGTTGGTTCCAAACAGTCCAGTGTTCAAATTTCTCTTTTTACCCCATACCAGCTGCATGACCTCTGTCAAGTCATTTTACCTGTCAGAAACTTAGATTCCTTATCTGTAAAATAGAAACCAGATGAAGAAAGATTTTCTGTGAGAACACATACTTCAGAGGTATTCAAGTGGCGATTATAGTGAACATGTGAAAGCATCTAGGACAGTGTCAGCTGCCTAGTAAGGGCTCCTTCAAAGTTTTTTTGTCTTCCATCCATTGGTGGTATTGCTGCCCAGTTGCACACAGAGTTGAAAGCATGACCCTGAGGACCTCCCTGGAATGCTAATGTGCTTGTCCCTGTCCCACATTTACTTGGAACAGGGGCCCTGCTCACTGTCCTTTTGCAGCTTTGGAGGTCTGTGTCGCAGCCCCATCTCATTTCACTCTTGAGCCTCTCAGTCCTATGCCTGCTTTAACCCCCAGTCTTTTAACTGAGCTCCATGTGAGCCAGTCACTTCAGGGCCATACCTGGGAGTTTGTCATCTCCCAGGTCTGTTCCTCCTTGGTCACCACATGACCACAGTCTCTTTTTTTTTTTTTTGCACCTCCCTTACTCCATGCCCTCATTTGCCACACAGCTCTATTGGACTGCCAGTATGTGGACTCCTACTCTCTCCCAGTGACTAGGTCCTTTCTTGGCTTCACTCTTCCCCTGAATAGCTGATGCTCAATGGCAGGTCACTTATTTTTCTTGTTTTTCAAGGCCTCAGCCCTTTCCCATTTATCATTGCCCTACCTGTAGTACCCTGATAACAGGATAGTTCAGTCACCACCTCTGCTCTCAAGCCTGAATCCTGAGGGAATCCATACAGCCATGAGGCAGTGACACCCACGCCCCACCTCCAGTCCCAGCAGTCCTGTATGGTAAAGGCTCAGCTCCCTTAAACCCCTCAGGCCCCTCTGCCCCCCATGCCCCTCTACTTGGTCTCTCAGTGATTACTGCACCTCCTGTTTCAGAAATGGAGGCTGGTGGACAGTCTGAGGGAGGGGAATGCACAAGATAGATGTAAGCACACATCCAGGCTGCGTCCCTTGCCAACTCTGTCTCTCGGCAAGTTAATCAACTTCTCTGAGCCTCTGAGTTCTCCTGTGTGATATGGGAATGGTAACGCTCACCTTAAAGGGTGTTTGGGAAGATTAGATGGTACTCAGCAGATGTGTGGTAAATGGTGCTATTAACTGTCTCCCTCACCAGTAGCTAGAATTGTGTGTACATGTGTACTGGGCCAGCGACCTTCTCCCTAGTCTTGCAGGAAGAGCAGCAAGGATTTGGCTTCTCCCCAACCCTTTGTCCCCTTGTTCTCATGTATACAAGTAAAGTCTTCTCTCCTCATCAGCTTCCACAGCTGCTTGTATCCATCCCATCTTCAGAAGTCCTGTCTCCCTTGTTCCTGACTATTTCTTCTCCCTTCCCATTTTCTCACCTGCTCTTCAAGGGATAATAGTGAAACGTGGTCTGTTCTGGCTGTGTGTGTGCCCTCACTGTCCATTCATTCTTGATTTACCACTGTGGAGCCTTCTGCCTCCACAGCCCACTAAAAAGTTCTCTCACCTGGGTCAGCACTAACTTTGTTGGCAAATAAAATCCATCTTGTGGGTGTGACCTTCCTTGAGTTTCTGCTGCTTCCTCACTGTTAATTAGTGCTGCCCTTTTTGGAAATGTCCACATCCTGGTGTGCTTCAGTTCCCATGGCAAGCCCCTCTTTATGCATCTGCCACTTAGGAATGCTGCATCCCAACATCAGCCCCAGGGACCATACTATCTCCTTCCTGCCCCTCTGCAGCCAGGCTCAGCTAAGCCATGCTGAACTAATCCTCCAGCTCTGGCCTTGCTTTTGATTTTCAGATATGTCTTTCCACTTCTCTGCAAGAGCCACTGCCCATGGCGACCTCAGGGCCATAGGCCTCACATGGCCACACTCTTGCTCTTGCTTTTCACCCTCCTCCTCCTCCTTTTGTGCCACCACATGCCATTGAATCATGTCACCAGCTGAATGAGAAGCCTAGAGTCACCCTTGGAGTCCTCATCGTCTTCCCCTGCTTGTCCCCTTCCCTTCCCCACTCCTATTAGGTCTACCTAATTCTTCTCAACTTTGTACTGGCCTCCTGTTTCTTCACCAAATCTTTCCTGACCACTGCAGTGGGCCTGGGTGTAGTTTATTTATTCAACAAATGTCTGTCGAGCCCTTCCTGTGTGCCCAGCCCTAATAGAGTATCATTTTTTCTTGAGCCCCTGGAATCTCCTCTGGGCTATTGCCTGAGGACTCATGTTGACCTGCAGCCCAGACTGCTTCGACTTCTCACCCTGAGCAGTCTCAGTGTTTTCCTTTGCCTCCAGCATGGGACTTCCACTCTTTGGACCCACCAGGTCCAAATCATCTGGCCCTGACCTGCTTTTCAGCATCCTCCCACACCTGCTTGGCCATCTTGTTTCATTCTGCAGCCACAACAGCCATCTCACTAACCCCAAACATACTCTGCTCTGGTAACTCTGCCCCATCCTGTGCTTTGCAGCCCCTGTTTAAAGTGCCTTACTCTAAATTTTCAGATTGCCAGCACCTCTTTCAAATGCTTACTCCTCTGTGAAGTCTTCTCTGATTTCCCAAGGCTGACTTGAAGGTTCATTTTCCCATGTCATACCTGGGCCCCAGTAGTAACATATGCATTTTCTTGTCTGTCAGCCAGTATCCCCACTGGACAGGTGACTTGTTAAGGGTAAGGATCACATCTGCTCCTTTCCCTATCTCCAGGGGCCAGTATAGGAAGGAGTACATAGTCTTGAATAGGACACAGCTGTCCTCACAGGTGTCTTTGATCCTTAGGAGGATCAAAGTTCCCCAAGTTACAGACCAAAGGCCTTTATCTAGTAGAAAGTTGAAGTAGGCTAGAGTTCAGTATAATCCTCCTAGAAGGTTGTTAGATGAATATCTGTCATCTTTACTTCATGGGGAGAATGGATGAGTCTCATGTTTGTCCTCAGCTGGCAGGGGGAAAAGAAGCCAGCAGGTCCAGCTAATAAGATAGTGGAAGCTGTGGCTGCTCTGATACATCAGCAGCCCTTATTTCTCAGCCTTGTTGAATATTTGTGAACAAGGCTGGAAAGGGAGATATTCCAGAAGAGGCCATGGCTGTTTTATATCAGTGTTTGGCCTGGCTGGTCTCAAAGTCCCTCTTGCTTGGATTTAGAGACCATGGAGAGTGTGCTGCTCTCTTGTCCTCCATTGCTTACCTGACAGCTGCGAATTTGTTAAGAGTGAGCCTCACATGACAACTAGAGTCCATGAGGATAAGCAGTTGCTCTCTTCTGCTGGGTTAGAAAGTGGTCAGAGGAAAGGACCACACACTGATGTTATAAATTGAATTGTGTCCCTTAAAAAGACATGTTGAAGTCCTGACGCCCCCCGCCCCGGCCCAATAGCTCAGAATATGAACTTATTTGGACCTAGGGTTGTTGTAGATGTAACAAGTTAATATAAAGCTCTACTGAAGTAGGGTGGGCCCTGATTCAATCTGACTGGTGTCCTTATGAGAAGAGGAGAGAAAGGAAAGACTCCATGTAAAGACAGAAGCAGAGATTGGAGTGCTACAGCTGCAAGGCAAGGAATGCCAAGGACTGCCATTACCACCAGAAGCTGGAAGGCAAGACCCTCCCCTCGAACCTTCAGAGAGAGAATGGCCCTGCTGACATCCTGGTTTCAGACTATGGCTTCCACAGCTGGAATATGATACATTTATATTGTTTTAAGCCCCCAACTCTGTCATCCTTTGTTAAAGCAGCAACAGGAATTGGATACAGCTTTATGGTATCTTTCACAAAACCTCCAGCAGAATTTGGAGGGGACTTGGGCCTGCGGAATCCTCGATTTGCCATGGATGGAAGAAAGAATCATTCCAGACACTGTTTGCCTGTCAAGGAAGGGGAAAGGTGATTCTCTCTCAAGGACAGTGCCCCAAGCCCCCATGCTCAATGGCTTATTGAGAGGGTTACAAGTGGGGGATAGGTAGCAGGAATGTATAGGTAGTCTAATTATATCAGTAACTTAAGTTTACAGAGAATAGGTGATGTTTAAAGAAGACAATGGCAGGAACACACCGAATTGCTCGGGTCTAAGATGAATAAACCTTATGGCGCCAGATGGGATTTGGGTCGGGGTCCAGGAATTTTGTAAATTTCCTTCTCAGCCTTGAACTGGTTATCTGGTATAAGATTACAGAGCTTGAGGGAGAAACAAAGCATGCTTCAAGGAGTATAATTTACTTCCAGGCCTGATTTTCCCCAGGGGCACTCGGAGCTATTATAGGGTCCTGCCTATCAACTGCATTACCAGTGTTCTGGCCAAGTCTTATGGGGCCTCTTCCAGGCCCCAGTTTGCACAGGACTACAGTCCCCAATACCACTCAAAGCAGCCCCTTATGCTGGGGGATAAGTTTCTGTGTACACATTCATCTTCTGGGACCTATAAGCGTATGTGAATGAGACAGAAAGGAACAGTAAGTGGCACATCCATCTGCCAATCCCCTTAAGAAAGAATCCTACTTATAGACCTGTGGATTTTGCTTTGACTATGGGGAGATGGGATGTAGATGGTAGATAAATCAATGTCATGTTGTGGCTGAGAAAATCAAGGGCAACAGCAGAGGGGAGCTGTTTGAGTGGGATGTTCAGGTGAACGCTGTCTATGCTACAGCAACTTAAATCACAGTCACACTCATTATAATTATTATTTTTAAATTGTAGCGGAAAATACGTCAGAGCTACTTTGCCTCTGTTTCCTACTTGGATACACAGGTTGGCCACCTTTTGAGTGCTTTGGAGGATCTTCATCTGGCCAACAGCACTATTGTTGCATTTACCTCAGATCATGGTAAGCATTTTGAAATGTCCCGGTGAGTCACTCAAAGTCTCTGGACTTTTTTTGTGAAATGTGCTTTTCTAGATTGCCTTAAACATAGACATGTTCTTTTTGAGGAATCAGTGGTGCCCTGAGTCTGAGGTCTTAGGATGGTTTTATGACTTCCTTGTTAGTTCTGGGTCCTCTCTCCATGTCTCTGTGGGTCAGAGGAGCAGTTTTCCACCTTTTCCCCCCTCCACTGAGCACCCCCCACTCCCTCAGGCAATCCCCACAACATTCATTGTTCATGCCTATGGGTCATGCATATAAGTTCTTTGCCTACTCCATTTCCTATATTGTAATTTATATCCCCATGGCTATTCTGTAACTACTTATTTGTACTTCTTAATCCCCTCACTGCTTCACCCATTCCCCCATACCCCCTCCCATTTGGCAACCATCAAAATGCTCTCTGTGTCCATGATTCTGTATCTGTTCTTGTTTGCTTAGTTTGTTTTTTAGATTCAATTGTTGATTGATATATTTATTGCCATTTTATTGTTCATAGTTTTGATCTTCTTCTTCTTAAAGAAGTCCCTTTGACATTTCATATAATAATGATTTGGTGATGATGAACACCTTTAGTTTTTACTTGTCTGGGAAGCTCTTTATCTGCGCTTTGATTCTAAATGATATCTTTCCTGGTAGAGCAATCTTGGCTGTAGGTCCCTGCTTTTCATGACTGAATATTTCTTGCCAATCCCTTCTAGCCTGTCAAGATTTTTCTAAGAAAACAACTGACAGTCTTATAGGAACTCCCTGTAGGTAACTAACTGCTTTTTTCTTGCTTCTTTTAAGATTCTTTATCTTTCACCTTTGGCATTTTAATTATGATGTATGTTGGAGTGGGCCTCTTTGCATCCATCTTGTTTGGGACTCTGTGCTTCCTGGACTTGCATGTATATTTCTTTCACCAAAATAGGGAAATTTTCTTCCATTATTTTTTCAAATAGATTTTGAATTTCTGGATCTTTCTCTTCTCCTTCTGGCACCCCTGTGATATGAATATTGTAATGCTTCAAGTTGTCCCAGAGGCGGTTATACTATCCTCATTTTTTTTGGATTCTTTTTTCTTCTTGTTGTTCTGATTGGTTGTTTTTTGCTTCCTTATATTCCAAATAATTGGCTTGATTCTTGGCTTCATCCAGTTTACTGTTGTTTTCCTGTAAATTGTTCTTTATTTCAAGTAGTGTATTCTTTGTTTCTGACTGGATCTTTTATTTTAAAGATTTTATTTATTTTTAGAGAGAGGTGAAGGGAAGAAGAGGGAGAGAAACATCAGTGTGTGGTTACCTCTTGTGCACCTCCTACCTGGGATCTTGCTTGCAACCTAGTCATGTGCCCTGACTGGGAATCGAACTGGTGACCCTTTGGTTCACAGACCAGCACTCAGTCCACTGAGCCACACCAGCCAGGGCCTGACTGGATTTTTTTTATGCTGCTGAGGCCCTCACTTCCTTGAGCATCCTTATAACCATTGTTTTGAACTGTGCATCTGATAGATTTCTTATCTCTATTTTATGTAGATTTTTTCCTGGAGTGCTGATTTGTTCTTTTGTTTGGGCCATGTTTCTTTGTCTCCTCATTTTGACAGTCTCCCTGTGTTTGTTTCTATGTATTAAGTAGAGCTGCTATTACTCCCTGTCTTGGTAGCATGGCCTAATGTAATAGGTATACTATAGGGTCCAGTGGCACAGCTTCCCCTATCACCCAAGCCGGGTACTTGACATATGCCCTTCGTGTGGACTGAGTATACCCTCCTCTTTTAGTTGAGCCTTGATTTCTGTTGGCAGGTCAATGAGAGGGATCTACCCATTCCAGTGAGCTGCAAGGACTGGCTGTGACTGCTGACCACCAACCTCTGTCCTCCATAGAGGAACAGCTATGCAGGGATAGAGTGGTGGTGCTCCAACGTGGTCTGTAGCTGTCCACTGGGTATACAGGCTCTGGGGTTTCTCTTGGGTGCTGCAGACCAAGGTCAGTCCCCACCGGTGTTCTGGCAAGGGCCAGCCTGCCTGAGCTGAAAAGCAATCTGAGATGACTGCTTTTTGTGCTGAGCTTGGAGATTCCCAAGCAAAGCCAAGCTGTGAATCTAGGCTGGCTGGTGCTAGTGCTGGGCCTGGGGGCTTACTGAGGCTGGCTGTTGCTTTCTTGATAGGATTTAGGAAGCTGTGAAACATGACCTAAGCCTAGCCATTCATATAGAAATGTCATGGTTAACAGCTTGAGTGCGCCCATAAGTTGGGTTGAATGGAGTCTCAGGGGATCTCCAGGGTGGGGCAAACAGTGTTAGCCAGCTTGATGGAGTTTCAGATAAAGTACCCACTTGCCAGTTCTGTGGCTGTGTTGGAGGAGGGCTCAGAAAAGGGACAGTGGCCTCTACCTCCATTTCTGTCTGGGAGAAAGCTGTTCCCCAGCTCTTGCCTTGATGCCAGATACTTCAGTGCCTTCCTGTATGCCACTGGTGCCTTTCAGGCTGTTACCTCAGTGCTGGAGCTCAGAGGGAGTAAGTCTAAGCCCTTATGTGGGATCTTTAAGGGGAACTCCTTGGGACTCCAGAAGTTTCCTCCATTGATTTAATCCCCACTGTTTTTGCAGCCAGGAGTTATGGGGACTTATCTTTTTGGCAATGGAACCTTGGACTGGAGGGCCTGGTGTGGGTCTGGGACTTCTCGCTCCTGAAATATCCCTCCCTAATTTTTATCCACCACATGTGGGTTGGGACCAGCCCGTTCTGCGTCTGTGTGTCTCCTACCAGTCTGGATGGATATGGTTTCTTTAATTGAATCCACTGTATTTGTCAGACTTCCATTCAGCTCGATTTCTAAGCATTCTGAATGAACGTTCTATGTTTTAGTTGTTATTTTGATGTCGTTGTGTGAAAGGGTGTTCCATGTCTGCCTATGCCACTATCTTGACTAGAAGTTGTAACTGCCATTTCTAATTTCGAGGATTTGAGTACTTTTTGGTGGCCTTAAGAGGATCCAGAACATTCCTGATAGAACTCAACAAGGCCCTCAGATCTGCCTCCACCCTTCCACTCCAGTCCTTCTGTGCTTTCTGCCAAGAGCCTAGGGTTCACAACTTTCATCTCTTCTAAGGCAGTTTCCTACTTTTTCCAAAAAAGGGAATATCTTTTTAAAAAAATTCTTCTCAATTTCAAAAATTGTAATCATGCCCAAGAGAAGAGGATAAACAACTTCCTGGTCTCCATCTTCCTGTCCCCCTTGTATTCACTCATGGCAGTCTTGTTTATCTCATCCTCCCTGCACCCCCACTCCCAAATTGTTTTACAGAAGTAAATTTAAGGTTGTTCATTTTTCTGAACAGTATCATACTATTCTCTTACCTAGCACCGGGAAGACAATTATTTAATATCATATAACATAAAACACTATATTAGAACATAACATGTACTCATTGTAAAAAGAAAAAAAAAGTATATGGAGTGTATCATATAGGGCCAGAATGCCCTGCCCTTTGATCCCACCTTCCCAGGGCTAACTGGTACTGACAGATTGTGAGCCGTCTACCAGCCTTTATGCATAGGTATATAATATACTAGTAGTGAACAAGGTAGAGTTGTTTGTGCTATGTGTACTGTTTTGTTCCCTCATTTGTTTTTTATGACTTACCAAAGCATAGACAGTTTTCTGTGTCATTTCTCACAGACCTACCTTATACCTTGTAAAGGCTTGTATCCATTACATATGGAAGTGTCATAATTTTTCACTGTTTCCCTAATGACCTGCCATCCTCTTCTGACCTCTCTCTTGGTACCCAGTTTCCTCGTATAGTACTAACACAGCCCACTGCACCCCATGAGGACAAGGCCGACTTGCAAACTCTCTTTGCCCAGCAGCTGCAGTTGACTACAAATGGCTCTTCTCAAAGGGCTCTCCCTGTATTTCCTACATCCGAACTCTAAAAGCCTTTTCAAATCCATACATAGCAGCTTTCTGTGGCTTTGTTGTTTTGTAACATGATATGCTTAACGTATGATCTCTTGTCATTTATATTCTTTCATATCAAAAAGAGTACTCAAACTTTAAAAGACTGGAAATTTCCAACTTGGGATATTCAAATGATCTTTTGCAAGGGATGTTTTTAATCAAGGTTAAGTGTAATTTTTAATCAAGGTTAAGGATTTGGAATCAAAACTTATATTTTTTTGCTCTATGGTATGTCTTAAAAGTTGGACAAGCTGTCCTTAACTTTTTTTTTCTTAAATTTGAGTGATTTTGCCACAGTTTTACAGCATACTTCTTGGTGGTACATCCTCCAAAAAAGAGTAAAAACCAGATCTGTGAAACTTGAGTCATGATAGGTAGGCACAGGATAAGGCAATGCCTACACTAGAGCTATTGTGATACCTCCCCAGTCAAGAACGAGCCCATCTAAGCAGGGGAGGTGGGTCTGTGGGGTGGGGGGGCAGTGGTCCCTTGGAGCCCTACCTAAATGTATATTGCTAGTTCCTTGCTAAAAGAAGATATTTTAGTTTGTGAATTTAATATTTTTTTTTTCCTTTTAAATGTTTCCTCATTCAAGAGAAGTGTCTAATTTCAAATAAAGTAATATTCAGGTAAAATCACCCTTTTGTGGTAATTGTAGAGGAAAATTTTTTATAGGTGATGAGTTTTTGCTTCCTCTGACTCTTAATAATAACAGGAAGTGAAATGATATCTAAAATGAACAAATTGTAATGTGATTGTTTTATTTTCTGTCATTCTGTGCTTTTTGTGAACCAGGGTGGTCTCTAGGTGAACATGGAGAATGGGCCAAATACAGCAATTTTGATGTCACTACTCACGTGCCTCTGATGTTCTATGTTCCTGGAAGAACAGCTCTGCTTCCAGAGGCAGGCAAGAAGCTCTTCCCTTACATCGACCCTTTTGATCCTATCTCGGAATTGATGGAGCCAGGTATACAGTATGCTAACGTGATATTGGTTGACTGTAGTAGCTTCTTTAGTTTATATAAATTACCCAACCAAATCATAGTGTAGGGGCTTGCCAAGTCTGCCTTCCTGCCTAATGTTGGTATTCCTATACACATTTCTTGGGTCAGGGGGGAAGTGGCAGGGCCGGAGCTGACAAGTATAGCCCCTGTCCACAAGGTGCCATGGATGATAGGGGTGGTTGGAGACAAAGGAGCACGAGGCATCCCCATGTTGGGGAGGGCACTAAGAGAGGAGAGAGACAACAGCAGCCTACTCCAGAGCTCAGAGAAAGCTAGTAGCAGACTCGCCAGGACGGGGGCTGTCCCTCCCAACACCTATAGATGAACAGAACTAAATTACCTAAACACTTCTGGCAGGGACTTGGCCCTTTGTAAGAGAGACAGACTTGCCATTTCGGCAGCTCATCATTCTAGTGAACTACTAGATCTGTAATGTTAGCAGGTTATTCTCCTTCTGCTGTCCCTAACAGTGGAGGTCAAGTTTACTTTGACTTCTAGGTTATAGTCCTTCCAAGCTTTGAAAACAACAAAATCTTCTCTTCTCTTGGCTTAGATCCTCAGTCTTTTAGCTGTTCTTCTCAGAATAGTGTCAGACCCATGCTTATCCTGGTCTCTGTCTTCCAAAATGTTCCAGTTTGAGAAAGCACTTCCAAAAATGTCCTTTGGACAGGATGATTTTGTTGTGTTTTATCCTGACTTGATTGGCTCAGTGCAGAAATGAGGGGTGCACTTCAGACAACATTTGCTCTTTTTTGGAGGGCTTTTTCTTTTTCTTTTTTTTATTTATACATCATTTTTATTCTATTACAGTTGTCTCAATTTTCACCCCTTTTCCCCCCCCGACCCATCCCACCCCAACCCCCTGCTGCCATAGTCAATTGCTACTCTGTTGTCCATGTCCATGGGTCATTCATACATGTTCTTTGTCTAGTCCCTTCCCCTTCTCTCCACCACTGTCCTCTTTCCCCATGCCCTCTGGTCACTTTCAGTCTGCTCCATGTTTCTGTGTCCGTGGTTTAATTTGTTAGTTTATTTTGTTGAATAGAGTCCACTTATAGGTGAGATCATATGGTATTTGTCTTTCATCAACTGGCTTATTTCATTTAGTCTAATATCCTCCAGTTCCATCCATGTTATTGCAAAAGGTAGGAGTTCCATCTCTCTCTCTTTCTATCTTAAATGCAGATTGATTTTATTTTTTTAAATGGCAAAGTTAATTATAAAATATTAAAACAATTTAAAACGATTATAAAGTCTTAGCAATTAAACCAACATGACATTCAGCACCGAAATAATCAAGTAGATCAATGAAATATAATAAGCATTCTAGAGACAAACATATATCTCTAACAATATAATATAGGATGAAGTTGATATTTCAAATCAATGGGTAAAATAAGGCTTATTCGACAAATAAGGTGCATGGACCACTATTTCTTAAAATAAAACAAACAGCCCTACTTTAGACATTATACAAGAAATATTCGGGTGAGTTAAAAATCAATATGTAGAATCTAAGGAGTTTTATAAGAAAATAGAACTAATATTTTTCATAACCTGAAGTAAAATATTCAAACCCAGAAGTTATAGATATTGACAATATGACTATATTAAACATTTAACTATATAGACATATACATATAAAAAAGTTAAAGGACAAGGAATAGAATAGGAAAGTATTTGCTACACATCTAAAACATGGTTAATAGGTCTTCCCCCCCGCAGGGAAAAAAGTTCTACAAACCTTTAATCAATAAATGGATAAAGAAAATGAAAAGGCCTTTAAAGCTCTTTTTAAAATAATAGAAATAGACAAGAAATATACTAAAACAGATTTAGTTTCAACAAATAGTAAAGGAACAATTAAAATAACGTCATTGTCACAATCAGAATAATGAGTATTAAAAATATTGGTAATATCAAGTATTGGCAACTCTGAAAGGAACTGGGTATTCATAGAAATTCTTCATCTTACAGTAGTCCCTTTAGCATATTTTAGAGTGCTGGTTTGGTGGAATTATATTCTTTTAGCCTTCTTTTGTCTGGGAAAGTCCTTATTTCACCTTCCATTTTAATTGAGAGCCTTGCTGGGTAGAGCAGTCTTGGTTGCAGGCCTTTGCTTTTCATGACTTGGAATATTTCTTGCTATTCCCTTCTGGCTTGCAGCGTTTCTGTTGAGAAGTCAGCTGCTAGCCATATTGGGGCTGCCTTATATGTTACAATCTCTTTCTCCCTTGCTTCCTTTAGGATTCTCTGTTTGTCTTTGATGTTTCCCATTTTAATGATGATGTGTCTTCGAATGGGCCTCATTGGCTTCCTCTTGAATGGGACTCTCTGTGCTCGCTTGGACTTGTATGACTTTTTCTCTCCTCCAATTAGGGAAGTTTTCCATCATGGCTTTTTCAAACAGGTTCTCTATCAGTTCCTCAACCTCTTCTCCTTCTGGTATCCCTATTATATATATATTATTACGTTTGAGATTGTCCTGCATTTTCCTCAATGCCTCTTCATTCTTTTTGAGTCTTTGTTCATTTTCTTGCTCTTTCTGGGAGCTTTTTTGTTCCTTTTCCTCCAGCTCGCTGATTTGGTCCTCAGCTTCATCTAGGCTGCTTTTGATTCCTTCTACTGTGTTCTTCCATTCAGAAATGGTATTCTTCATTTCCTCTTGTCTCTTATTGATAGTTTCTGTGTCCTTTTTCATGCTGATGTAGTTTGCAGTTAGTTCCTCATAGTTTCCCTGTAGTTTTTGGAAATTCTCTCTGAGCTCACTGATCTCATCAAGCTTCCTTAGAACCGTTGTTTGGAACTCAATATCTGATAGTTGACTTGTCTCTATTTCATTTAGATCTCTTTGTGGGGATTCCTCTTTTCCCTTCGAGTGGGGCATATTTCTTTGTCTTCCCATTATTTATGAGACTCTTCTCTTTTGCTTCTGTTTCTTAAGTTGATCTGTCTTGATCTCCTGACTTTGTGGTGTGAACTTCTATGGTTGGAGACCACTGTTTTTACTTTCCGGATGTGCCTCTGATGATGTCAGCTGTTGACCCTGTCTGACCTTAGGCAATCTGTTCAAGACTTCCAGTAATCTACTGTTTGTGGCTGTCTCCTTCAGCTGTTAATCTACTCACTCTGCACTCAGCAGGCTGCCTTAGGCAGCTCAGGGAGGGGTGGAGTCCCTGCTGGGGACTGGGTTATTGGGTCCACTAACAGTGCGGCAGTATGGAGGAGGAGTCTGCACTGGGATCTCACGGGCTACTCTTTCTGTTCTCTCCCCAAAGCCTCCTTCCCCAGTGTCTCCTCAGGTGTCTCTAGCCCACTCTGCCCACCCCCCCCCCACTTTGCTGGAGACCAGGGTAAGTGGCTGCAAATAAAAATTTATGTGTTGGCCCTTTAAACAGTTCTTTGCGTTTCCAGCAACCTTACTCTTGCAGAGAGAGACCCTGCCGCTTTTCAGAGCTGGCTGTTTTCTGTGTATCTTTTGGGCTCTGGTGCTGTGGGCTAGACATCCCCACTTTTGGTTTAGACCCCGCTGTTTTCAGGGGGAATCCAACTGGCCTTTTCAATATCCTTCTGGTGCTGCTGCCCACCTTTTCAGGTGTGTACTGCACTCCTTACCAGTTAGATTGTGCTAAAGCTGATTCTTCTGTCTCCGAGGTTATAAGACTCCTCTCTCGCCATTGTTCAGTTGTTTGTTCCAGGTGATTTCTCCCCAATTTAGTTGTAATTCCAGGTTGGTCCTGGGAGGAGGGCAGTTTAACTTCCACTCACTTCTCTGTCATCTTGATTCTTCCATATTACCAATCTTGGAGGGCTTTTTCTATGAAGTCTGCTAAAGCAGGTTGCCCCATTTCTAGAGTTCTGCATTTAATCCACCTGTAACATCTATATTCTGCACTTCATGTTGATTTCTGTTTAAAAATTTCCTGGTTTTGAACCATTGTTCTCGCATTCTGGATCTTTTCAAGTTTGTTTTCTACTGCCCAATTTCATTTTCTGCACATTTAATTTTTGTGTGCTGCATACTCTGTCTTCTTTCATGTCATTGATAAAAAATGTTAAACAGTTTAAAGGCATGAATATTGCCCTTTGTTTACTTGGAGAAGTCTTTGAGAGGTTGAAAATTTTTTTTTCAGGTTGGATAGTTTTTTTTTTTTTTTTAATTCTTAAAATACATTTGTCTCCACCTTCCAGCCATCACTTTCCCCTGCTGCTTCCCACCTCCCTACCTCCAATCCTTCCCCACTTTGGCTTTCTCCATGGGTCCTTTACATGTTCCTTGACTTGACCTTTCCCTTCCCTTTCCCCACTGCCCCCTCCTTCCTCCTGATGCTGTTGGTTTCTTTTTTCTTTCAATGTTGCTGGTAATACTTTTCTTGCTTGTTTCTTTTGTTGTTTAGGATCCACTTATAGGTGAGATCATATGGTATTTGTCTTTCATCCCCTGGCATATTTCACTTAGCATAATGCTCTCCGTTTCCATCCATGCTGTCAAGAAGAGTAGTAGCTCTTTCTTTTTGCTGCATAGTGTTCCACTGTGTAAATATACCACAGTTTTTTGATTTACTCATTTACCGATGGGCATTTAGGTTGCTTTCAGCACGTGACTATTGTAAATTGTGCTGCTGTGAACATTGGGGTGCATAGGTTCTTGTGAATTGGTGTTTTGGGATTCTTTGGGTATAATCCCAGCAGTGGAATCGCTGGGTCAAAAGGCAGTTCCATTTTTAGCTTTCTGAGGAAATTCTACACTGCTTTCCACAATGGCTGCACCAGTCTGCATTCCCACCAACAGTGGACTAGGGTTCCTTTTTCTCCACAGCCTCGCCAGCACCTGTTGTTTGTGGATCTGTTTATGATAGCAATTCTGAACGGGGTGAAGTGGTATCTTATTGTGATTTTAATTTGCATTTCTCTGATGGCTAGTGATGCTGAGCATCCCTTCATATGTGCCTGGTCCCTCTGT